GTTTAATAAAAAAAAATGTTGATGTTACAAGTACTTATTGTCCTCCTTGTAGACAAAATCTATATGAAATACTTTAGAAAGAATTACGTTTTGTACACATGTAAAACATATGGAGATATATTTCCTTTGCATATGAGAAGGGCCTAATGTATTAAAGAATTACATTACTGACATTGCAAATTACACACTTATATACATCTATTATAATATAACTATTATTGTCTTTAATTCACTGAAATTGTGGAATATTTTAATTTTATGTTCTTTTTAAGCTTCTCTTATTGTTAAGTTGTAAAGCTCACTCACTACTGATCATATGAATGTTCTGAGTGTCAGTGCTGAACTTGTTTCCTTTAATCTTAGTCCACATCTCTGCAAATACTGACTCTGGTCTAAGCTCTAAACAGTTATTGATTAGAGTACGTACTTCTGCGTCTCCTGACTTACTACAAAATGATCAGTCATTAACAGCTGCACTGTATAAAGCCTCTTTGTTTGAATTTTCACATTTAAGCAAGTCTATGCTGGGACTTCAGAGCTCAACATTAAAACCAACCTCCAGTATCCTGTCTCTCTCCTGACTCTCTCTTTTTGGCAGAGACAAAGATTTACGACAAGATGAAAAGCCAATAAGCAGCCGGCTGAAGTCCCTGACTTCTTGATCTGCTGCCCATCATCTATGTGATATGTTTGGCATGTATGTCAAATTTCGAAAGTCTGTGTGTAACAGCAGGCAGAACAATAATCTTTTAAGACTTAATTCTTGAGTTTAATTTTGTCAACTGAGTTATTAATATTAATATTTTTATTGATAAACATAAAACTCAGGAACTCATTCTTTGCTTTTTTGATATGAAAGTTTTTAAACTCCTTGTTACTCATCAGTGTTATACTGAAAGGTAGGAACTCACTCTGGGTCAGAGGACACAGGTTCACTGCTGAAACCAGGAGACTGCCCCATGGACACACAGCTGGTTTCTCTTCCTCCTCTTCTGAATTCAGGAGGTAGCCACATGGACCGGTCACTCTTCATAGACACACAGCTGGGTTTTCTTCTTCCTCTTCTGAATTCAGGAGGTAGCCACATGGACCGGTCACTCTTCATAGACACACAGCTGGGTTTTCTTCTTCCTCTTCTGAATTCAGGAGGTAGCCACATGGACCGGTCACTCTTCATAGACACACAGCTGGGTTTTCTTCTTCCTCTTTTGAATTCAGGAGGTAGCCACATGGACCGGTCACTCTTCATAGACACACAGCTGGGTTTTCTTTTTCCTCTTCTGAATTCAGGAGGTAGCCACATGGACCGGTCACTCTTCATAGACACACAGCTGGGTTTTCTTCTTCCTCTTCTGAATTCAGGAGGTAGCCACATGGACCGGCCACTCTTCATAGACACACAGCTGGGTTTTTTTGATCTTCTTCTGAATTCAGGAGGTAGCCACATGGACCGGTCACTCTTCATAGACACACAGCTGGGTTCTCCTCCATTGCTGAATTCAGGAGGTAGCCACATGGACCGGTCACTCTTCATAGACACACAGCTGGTCTCTCTTTCAGTGCTCAGTGGAGGTTCCATCATGGACCTAATAAGCAGGGTGTTAATATCTACCTGAAATCAAAACAGATGTTTTTACTTTGTTAGCTCATGTATTTGGTTTTAAGCACGATTCATCACATCATATGATTTAAAAGACAGTACCACTTTACAGGCCCGCAATAAGACTGAACGGTTAGAAATTAATTTATTAAAGGTTATTACCAAGTTCAAACACCTTAATGACTTTTTGTCATTTTGGGGGTACGTCAAAAAAATCTGACATTAATCTTCATTTAGTTTTATTAGCCTCCTGCACAGTTACACACTTCTCTGATACAGGCAACACAAACAGCTTCCAGCACATGGCAAACTAACGCTCTAAGAATTAGATATTGTACCCTTTTATTATAAAAGGTTGTATTAGATAAGAAAGAGTTTCAGGAGAAACTAACAGCAGTAAAGTTAGTTCAGTCTGTCCTGCCCTGCTGGGTGCGTGAATGAACTCAGTATCATTTACTAACTGTCGTTAAGGCCTGTATGATGCTTGTCAGTCGTGTACTTGAGTTAGCTTCACTTTCACAGACGTGGTTTAGATCACAGTTGCAGTGAGTTGTTTTGTAGCTGCTGTGATCAGAGCTTAGCTGTTTTGTTAACATGCTTGTGGCGCTGCTTTGTGTTGTAGTGCAGTTAAACGCTGAGCAGATGATGATAAATGTGATCTGTGGTTCAGGTTAGTGAACATTTTGTTACTTGCGGTTCATTTTACATCTGCAGACTCTCTCACACACATAGTGCCCCCATACTGATGCTGCAGCATTTACGATTACAAATCAAAACAATTCAGTCATCTGCCTCCCTGAGCTTTTACAGGAACTCCTGACTGACCCACACCCATAATACAGTCATAGAGAAGCATCTCTAATATTGCTCATTTATTAAGTATTACTAATTTTAAGGTAAATATGAACAAAATCGATATAAAAATGTAGAAGTACATTAATATACCCTCAACAGTACAATAATGGTCTTAAGGCTCAATTGTGATGTAATGGCTGAAGTCACAACAAAGGATATGAAGAAGAAATAATATACTATACTGTACTGTTAAACTTATTACTTACCTTATTTTGGCTTCTCTATCACTCAGCATTAAACCTGTCAGCTTTACCACGTCAAACAGAACAGGTGTTGCCCTGTTTACATACTGATACATATCTTTATAAGGGGTTGTCTTATCGTACAGTAATAACACCCAGAAATGTAAAAAGATTGAAGATTTTGCAGCTGACTTGGTCGAAAATGGAATAAAACCCAATAATGTAATAGCCTGACCAGTAATATGATACATTTACTTGATGTAACTAATCACTAATACTATTACTAATATTGATATTATGTATAATAACAAAAGAATTTATCTGGTAATATGAATCCTAATTACATTATTTGGAATTTATTACATTTATAGAGTTGACCATATGTAACAAATTATTTCATTTTCGAGAATTTATGTCCAGCTCCTGAAGTCCTCAACATTCAGTCATCTTGGAATAAAGTGGGTATTATATCACATATATATAAATATTTAATCACAAAACCTAAATATTCTTTCATCATAAATAAACATTGGACAGAACAGTAAAGCTCATTTCTCTATTTGGAAGTTACACATTGTTAAACTAAATGATTTGTATTCATGAACCGGTGTTTGTAAATATGAATACATGTTAAATTCAGCAAATAAACAGTAACTGTACTGAAATTTGATTTGAGCAGGGGTGCTGAAACTTTTGCATACCACTGCACGTCATTTGCAAATCTGAATACACACAAACATTTACAAGGCCTATCATTTATAAACATTTGTAAATGTTAAAATTCTGATGTAAATATGATTTATCCATGATGAATAATGGTTGGTTATGTTCTAATCAAAGTTAGTGTTACCAAACGTTGTATTACACTATTGGATAAGTTATTACATCTTTGACCAAGTTAAGAGCAAAATTTTCTTACGTTTTTGAGATTTTTGGGAAAGAATTACAATATTAGGCTCTGCAGTTCCCTAATGTTCAAATCATGACCAACTATTTTCCTCAAAAGCAGTGTTTACCAGCCCTGGTCCAGGAGATCGACCTTCCTGTAGAGCCTCATTCCAACCACAACCTGCCACACCTGCTCCACTAATGATCTTCTTCAGCCCCTGATTGGCTGGATCAGGTGAATCAGTGTCAGGTAAGAGGTGGGCAGCGTGTTAGATGCAGGTTGGAACTGAACTCTGCAGGAAAGTAAATCTCCAGGAGGAGGTTTGGTGACAGCATGTAGCTCTGCAGTCTTTATGCTCCCTCTTCTGGTGAAACAGCGCTACTGCACATTAACTCGCCTTTACAGCCTGTGTTTTTTAATCGACGCTACGCTTAAATAATCCTGATTAAGAAGCCCGGATTAAACAACGCGCTTTACATTCAGACAATCTGCGAGTTTAGAAACATAAAAATGTAAAATATATTAAATCAAACTGGTCCAACTTACTGTTCACTGTTGCCCTTTTTTTGTTATAACTGCTTAATAATGATTTTTAAGGTGTTTACAGCCTAATTAATAACCATTAATAAGATGATTGTAAACCATTCATAAACGCTTTATAAGGATAGTCTTATTTTAAAGTGGTACCATTTTATCTTTGTGTTTATGTTCTGTCTCATGCGGTGTTAAACCACCCAAATAGTACCTGCTCTGTGAGGGTCCATGGGGGTCCTGACCACTGAAGAACAGGTAAAAGGGAGCTAACAAAGTATGCAGAGAAACAGATGGACTACATATATATGATTTTGGAATAAAGCAGGTGTTATATTAAGCTGTTGTTAGATATCGTGTCATGTCTCTTTGTATGATACTAAATCATATTACAGTCATTACTGACAGCATATCTTACTCGTAATTGTAATCTACTTCATCTGTCCATGTAATTAAGCACCTACTCATTTTTACAGATCTACAGATTTTTCCAGGTGTTTTTTTCCATCTACTCAACTTTTCAACTGAAGTGACCAACTTCCTGAGGTCACCAACTCAACCCGGTGAAGTTTTTCCCTGCACCTTCAGAAGGGGGCGCTGTGAGCCCTCTGGCTGTGTTCCAGTCAAATTGTTATTATTTATTGGGTTTTTCAGTCATGAATATGTTTATGTAAAGTTGCCAGCTGCTAACTTTCCACTGGTCATACTGGTGCTATCAGCTGTCTCAGCTGGTCACAGCAGCACATGATTTGGTTGCACTCCTTTTTTTTGGTACAGGTATTAAGCTGCATGCTGATGAACAGTTGTCTTCATTTGCATATCCTAGTTTTGCATTGATGTAAAGACTGACTTTGATAGTGACTCAAAATATTTCATATTTGTGAAATATTTTAATCTGAACGTTGTTTTTTTCCACAAGCAGTGGCTGAGAATATAGGCCGTCTTCTATTATATAATTAAAAATAATATAACATTATCAAATAAAGCAAAGCATCACGACAGCATGTGTTTCTACATGTGCTCTAAAATTTTACTCCCTGACCAAATCCTCAGTGATAAACTTATAATCATAAGCTTTATGAGACTGACCATTTTAATTTAAACATCATTATGCAATATGTTACATATTTTAGAGCGTAATTTATACGTATGTATTTATCATAGCTTAACATATTGGGGGAAAACATTTTAAACCTGTATTACTTTTGCCCAGATCACATTTTATATTAAATTTTTTACCCTGTCTGTTAAATTCAGCAAATAATCAGTAGTTGTGTATTAAAATGTGCAGTAGTGAGTCTCTGTAGATGATCTGTAACTTATTTACACTCAGAACATCAACAACATGGAATCTGACCGGGGTGCACTAACTTTTACATACGACTGCAAACTGTCATTTATAAATATGAATACACTCATCAACAACTATGTGGACCATCATCTGTAAACAACTGTAAAGGTTCAAATTCTGATAGATTAATGATCTGTTCATACTAATAATGATTAGTTAATGATCTATTAATGAAAATTACTCTCTCTCTCTTTCTCTCTCTCTAACTCTCTCTCTCTCTCTCTCGCTGTCACGCGCCCCAGGCACGTCACTATCTGCACGAGCCAAAACTTAAAACTTATGATTTTATTTATTTACTTACTGATTGATGATTTGTGATGACTGTGGCTCATTTATCCATAAAATCCGTTTAAAATGTATATATTTATATATGTATTTGTATAAACCCGGTTGATTTTTTGCGGCGTCAACACGAGAAAATGGAGGATCGAGGTGTCGCGAGCGCGCAGCCGCTCCTTCCGCGAGCGGGCTCTACAGTAATCAGTCAGTCTGGTGTTTATCGGACTAAAACAGGAGCAGAGCTGAATGTGAAGCAGCGCTGATCGCTGATCCTTCAGTAAATCCAGCTTTACAGCGTTTCTCTACAGTTAAACCTGTTTATACTGAAACCTTTCAGTCCTTTCAGCTCAATAAGAACTGCGTCACCGTCTTTGGCCGGCAGACATTTTGTAGCTCGGAGGAGGAGTTTAGTCCAGTTCTGAGTTCGGATTAAAACGGGTTTAAACCGGGAGGAAACACCAACACCCGGTCCTGCTTTAATCTCAGTCAGTATTCCTCATTTCTGTGCTGAATAATCTCACCGTGTTGAGTCCAGAGCGCTGATCTGGGGGATCTTCTCTCGGACTATGATGGCGACATGTTACCGTTACTTTCCTCAGAGTTACTTTCGGTTTGGTCTTCACTGAGGAAGCGCTGCTCTGATCACTCAGGTCCACTCAACTTTCCCTCACAGATGAAGTCTGCGTGCTCTGATCACTCAGGTCCACTCAACTTTCCCTCACAGATGAAGTCTGTGTGCTCTGATCCTGCGGAGCCCGGGAGCTGAAAATGGTGATTATTTTAATAAGGCGAAACTAATACACGAGGCCACGAGTTAAGTCAATATTTGTGGCCTCAATATATGAATTCATAGATGCGCCTTATTAAAAATAAATCAACCTGTCGCCTTAAGGGTGACACTGATAACGTAGGTCCATTCAAATTTCCCCCACAGGTGATTCCTAAAGTTTGTGTCCAAACTAATGATGAACTGAAGTTTTTAACAAAATTATTATTTTTATTCATTGATAGTTCAATTAATTGATTCATTTCTATTGTTTTCTATTCTGTTCCACAAAAGATGCTGCAACTAAAATTAAAAGCACTAAAGATTCTTTTTTGTTTTATTGCTATTATTTTTATCACAGCTACAGTTTTAATCAGGGCGTAAAGTCGGATTAATCAGGTGTAGGAATTTCTTTAAAAGGCACCAACAAAGTGGGGGCAGTACTGTTCAGTGTGTGTTTATTATATGGTGTTATCAGCTCTGATATCATGACAGTGTGATTAAACCATCCAGCCGTATCTGTATCTCAATATCTAGATGCTCATGTAGCTTAACACACAGTCTGAGGTGATGATTTAGACATGCAGTTAGCACCATGCTAATTGGTGGGACATTATATTAGCTACATTAGCCTCGTAGCTCCTGTGCTAAAGCTAAAGAAGCAAACTTCAGACCCCAAACATGCCTGATCAGCTACAACAGCACTACACTCAAAAAAATAATTTGTTGGATTTACTTAATCCAGTTATATCAACAATTTCCACTAAACTGAGTTGTGTTAGATATAATTAAATCATATTATTAAACATCAAATAACCAACTTAAGTAAAACCAACATGACTGTAATATGGTTAGCTTGGTTTTAATTAATAGGTTTGTGTGTAGCCAACTAAACTGACCAACATAAACTCAACAAAATGCTTTTTCTTTTGTTTTACTTAATTGTGCTGATTAATGACAACAGAGAGATATTTCATTATACCGACTTAACTCACTTATGTAAATGTAACGATGTTGGACCACCGATACTCAACTGTATTTAATAAGATTAACTAAACTATACTTCATCCTTCCAACCTAACTGGCTTAAATAATTGGGGCAACTACTGAATTTCATTTTACTTAGCTGTTTTTCATTTTAACAATGGTAGTAATTTTAAGTACACTTACTAAACCTGTCAAAAAAAAATCCACACAGTAAATTGAAATCAATCACTGTAGCTGTATCAACAGAATGGGACTTGCCCAGACCAAAAACGTAAGCTTTCCAACAGAGTGCAGAATGAAAACAGTTGAAAATTAATATTTAAATAACTTTTGAAAAAAAGTTTAATTTAAGAAAACTGTAAATTCAGATCCCCACTAAGTTTTTTAGTTTGCAAAATACATTTTCACTGGAAATTTCAATTGAAAATCTAAAATCTCTTTATGTCAATATGAAATTAGGGTAAACAGAAAACAATATTCAAATAAAGAGTGAACCAATGTAATGTCACATAGGAAATATTTCAAAATAAAATAACTAAATAAAAAAATCATTTTTCCCTTGCCACTTTAGTAGCGTTAAAAACAAAACAACAAATTCAGAAAGTGCATCACACAGCCAGAACATTATCAAAACAGTACATGTTTAAACCAACATGTCACGCTAAAGAGATCACAAACAGTAATGCAAAATATGCATCTTAATTTGGTGCCAATGGCTTTTGCTCCAAGCTCACTCAATATCGCTGTACGTCACAAAGTTTCTCTTACCCTCATATTCTTGCTATTTTTCCAGTAAATCTCTTATTGCCCACTCATTTACACCATTCTGTTATTTTTTTTTATATCCATTTTTTTATGGACATAAAAATGCAACCCAACATAGTTTTTAACTGTTAAGCTCATCCCGTCTCTCTTTTGTGAACATTAAGTCTGTTAAAACATTCAGACATCAAGCATTCGAAACAAAGAGCATGTCACATCTTACAACGAATAATCATGACAGTTCAACATATGGATCCAAAAAGATTGTTTATTTTGATTGCCCTAGCTCCAAGCCTCCTTCCCTGTCACCTCAGAGCATTCAACTAAAAGGCTCCACACTCACTTGCAATTTCATGTCTACATTGTCCCTTCAAACAGTTTGTTTTTTAGCACTTGAGCCCTTCTTGAGAGATGTCTGCCATCCAGTTCCATCACAAGTTTTTGTAGAACCTCAAATGTGTACTTAAGGTTGGTTGGGCAGCTCAAGTCCAATGTGTACATGAGGCCAAATAAAACAGCGACTGCGTTTGCAACGTTACCAAGGTCGCGAAGCACTTCCACACCTTTGATGATTATTCCAACATCTTCCAGCTCATCTGTAGGTTCTGCACCTTCCTTCTTTATGGCAAAGATTCCTAGAATTGTCTGCTCCATCTCCTGGTTGTCCCCAACATCCTCAAAAATAGAACAAATAGACCTTAAGCCAAAACATGCACAAGCCACAAAAAAAACCTGTTGTCAACAGAACATCCATAAATCATACCTTCGAATATTCCAGAAACTGCTGCTAATAATGTTATGATTTTAATATGCAAGTGTGGCAAGTATCTCTTCTCTCAGCTGAAGCAAGCATGGCAATTTTCTATATTTTTCTTATTGTCAACAAATATGTTTGGAGTCAAACCAACAATTAACTGATCTACTAACAAGCATTGTGTGTGTGTAATCAAAGCCTGGTATATCTTATTTTTCTGTACCATAGACCGCCACTGTTGCCCAAAAGCTATCAAAAACAAGCCAATGAGTCACACCACTGCACTGGGTGACGTTCCTTTATTGTGAGTTTATTCATGTTAGTTTGTTTAGAAACAGCCCCAACAAGCACAAACAGAAAAAGTAATTCTGTGGAAAAAGCGAAGAGCGAAAGAGGCCAAAATACTTACAAGATACTCCCTTATGAGGTTTTCAGGGTCTTCGTTGAGGTAAACAATCATTGCCTTCAGTATGCAAGCTCTTTTTGTTTCAATGGCGTCATTCTGCAGCAAAGAACAAGAGAAATGTATAAGTGGTTATAATGTTGTATTGTGCAGCATTTAACAGCAGAGATGCATCACCACACAAGCAAACTGTCATGCCAATTTACAGGCAGTGTTTGGCCACATATTATTGTGGCATGATTTGGGACACACATTCTAATAACACAAGCACCTGTAATGTAAGTGTTTCATAATTACTTGTGGTAACTAGTTATAATTAGCAAATAATTATATATTGCAAGTTACAGTACAATAAACAACGTATTGTAGAAAGGTACTTATTGAATTAATAAAAGATACAGTATGTTAAGTAGTGTTCATGAAAACTTGAAACAGAATGAATAAGGTGCCCATCAGAATCAGGACACAGTCATCGAAGGCCTGTTTACACCTGGCATTAACATGCGTTTTTGGTGATCAGATCATGTTCGGTGTTGCTTGTCCACATGAAAAGCAAGGTGTAAACACCAAGATGCATTGTGAACAGTTTACGATTGGATCACTCAAACCACATTTGGAGGTGGTCCGAGACAGATCTAGTCAACATTTAATACAAGTATAAACAGAATTCGTCTTCTGTGATCGGATTCTGTCAGGCAAGTGGACATACGTTGGTCGAAAAAACATTAATACGAGTAACTATTACTGTAGATCTTGGCTTCTCCATCCCTCACGCCCTCTCTCTCTTGCTCGGCTGTGTGTGTGTCCGTGCTTGCGCTTACCAGTAGATGAGAGCAGTAACTTTTTTCCCTTGTGGTTTAAATAGATCGTCAGGTTTTCTGATTCAGCCATTACTGGAATATTAGGACCTTCTACTGTTCCACCGCATTGGAGAACCCACACTATTATTCTAAACTGCTCACAGGCTCAATGAGAAGGATAATTTTGATGAGAAACTGTTGTTTACAGGTAGAAAAACAAACGTACGCAGTGGTGTGCTTTTTACGGAGAAGTAAAATCGGATCTTGTGTGTTCACTCTGGGGACGCATTTTACTGACAAGGGTAAACAGAATCCGTAAGTATATCCAGATACTCTCCGGATACAAAACACTTGTTAATGCCAGGTGTAAACAGACCCCAAGATGACTCAAATGATCTTAGCATTTAGTCGGGAGATCAAGGTAAAATGTTTCTGTTCTAACAGACACATTTACAGTACATAATAGTCAGATTTTATGCATTTAAGTATAAACGGATATGCAAATAGTTCCAACCATCAATGTACAAGGGCACTAGATAAAGAAATCAAGAATATTTAAATCGTGTGAACAGCTGTCTGAATAAATATGTTCATCCACCAGATATCATTTTGTCGCATACAGAAGTAATACAACTGCACAATAATAATAAAGTAAATTGAATCTGCAAAATATTCCTGAACACTTGTTAGAAACACACCTTTTCTGCAAAGATATTCCTAATTTTTTGTCCAGCAGCTCCTCCTTTTCTTCGCAAAACTTTTATCAGCTGGGAAGAGTGGTGATCTAGCTGCTGCATGAACTTGGATCTTAGTGGGACAGTGGTGATGCGTGCAAACTCTGCTTCCACCTACAAACATTTAACAATGACAGAAAAAATAAAAATGGTTCGTGTTCCACAGCAAATTATGGATTAATAAAAACATGAATGTAATTACCCAAAAAAACAAATGGTATTTTTACTTCCCATTTCATTTTAGTTAAAAACACTGCTAGAGTGGTACATAAACAGGTAGTATGCGCCCTTCTAAACTATAAACCAATACAGTAATCATTTGTCCAGGATGAGGACACCTTTTACAAATAATTATTCTTCCCCAAAGCTATCATTTTCATGGAAGCTATGATAATTTCCTGGTATGATTTTCTGACCCAGTTTCAATGACCACCACAAGTGACCAGACTTTGGACAAACTTGCCACAGTGATTTTTTTTACCCACTCCCCCGCCCCCCCCCAATGGCATCACATGGAAAAACGTTCATACTGTATTAGAATATTTTGATAATTACAATTGTCATTGTAATTTTCATGTGAACATTCCTTTAAAAGGCCATCCCCGTAAACCTCAAAAATAGTTATTTATCAACACAACATGGACTGACCTCACGTTCAGAAAAGAGAGCTGGCCATCTTTCTGCAATGAAAATCTGCAATGAAAGGCTTGTCTTCAATCACCTCATGCCGCCTGTAAGCAAAAGTCCTTTCCATCTTCTCCTTGACCACCTGCTGGTTGTTTGTCTTTTTCACCTCAGACAATAGTGACAGCCTCTCTTGCTCTAGGCTCTCTTTGGTATGTCCCACAGGATAGTCTGGATAGTAGTTCATCTCTGCTCTTCTAGGTTTCTTCACTTGATTTGGAGATCTGCTCCCTTAAACATGGGTGCTTCTTCATTAGTGCTTCAGCTACAGCATGAAATTCAGCATCTGAGGGAAGCTTTATATTTGATCATTTGTGATGCCGAGCATTG